CTATTCTCTTCACTATGAGACATGGACTACTATTTCAAAATTTATATTTATTATTGTTCGGACTATTTTGTTAATAGTTATTTATGCACCTAGGTCAAAAAGTACAGCTTTAACGTCCGCAGCGTGTGTAGCAGCCTGAGGCGTTAGCCGAGGGCTGTTTACACGCTGAGGGCGTTAAAGCTCTTTTTGACTGAGGTGCATACAAGATTTTATGCACGGTGAGCATGTTTTCATTTTGATATAAAAAAATTTATATATTTTCAATTTTGTAATGACATCAATCAAAAATATTTCAAAGTATAAATTTTCATCTTTACCGCAATAGGTCCTAAGTTTTTGTCAAATTTAGATCAAGGAAGCAGTTGTTGACAAAAGTATCACGTAACTATTATAGCAACCCAGAACAATACAAACAAATAATTATGTGCTGTGTAGTGTACGTGTATGGTATTCTTATGATGGTAGTGCGTCTGAAAATGGAGCAAAATAGCATGCCCAAGTTTATTCTTGAGGCAGTTGAAGAGGCCAAGAAACATGTATACCTTCAAAGTCCAAAAGACTCTATGAAAAAACATATGAGGACTTTATTTCCTGATGTGCCCAACATAGTGTAAATGAGCAACATACTTTGTAGAAGAAACTCTCCTGGCCTGGCATATACATTAATATGAAAAATGCAAAGAAAAAGCCATCCACCCTATGGAGCTTTTACTCAATGTTGAAGGCAACAGTTCTTTTGTGTATTTCTGTGGAAAAGGGCCGGTTTCAAAAATTAAAAACTGTAAAAATTGTATTTTCAATTTCAAAGTAGATTGAATTTTACCATTATTGCTTATTTCATTATTCTTATTAATTGAAATAAAGCTTGTTTTGTTGAAAAAAGTTGGTATTTTTTGGACTAAGCAATAGAAATACAAAAAGTTTTTAAAAAAAATGACGAATTTTTGTTTATTTTTAAAACTTTCAGGCCCGCGGGCATAAAAGGCGCCCTAGGGCGTAAAAGTACTACTTCACGCTTTAAAATGCGGGCGTAAAAGTGCACTTTTACGCCCGTTCGTGCATAAAATACATTTACGGTGTTGGTGCGGTTAATCGCCGTTCAAAGACAGACGCCTGTTTACCGCGAATTTGACTTTGTCGGTAACCGAAATAGCGGTGCTGCCGGCGCCTGGCGCTATCGCCGCCCGCATTTTCTTCGTTTTTCACCTGTTTGGAGTAGTGTGAGTTAAAGACTTGTTGTAATAGGACGATTTTGGCATGGCGCAAAAACCAATTGATTTTATTTGTCCTAAATATAGTTTTTGTTGACAAGTTTGTAATTCAGCTCAAATAGTTTTGTCGTTTGTGGTTAATTAAACCAATTGTACTTGATTAGTAAAATCAAAGTTGTTTGATTAATCGATCAAAAGAACTTACCTGAAGTTCGATCGTAATTATATGAAGGTCCAGTCCGAAATATTACAATAACTTTTTACCATGTAGATGTTTAAAGAAAACTTGCCATCAAAATATTCATTAAAAATAGAAACATATAAAGATATGTTAGCATCAATCTAAATTTTATTCTCTTATTCCGATAGGTATACACTTTACAAACTGAGTTTAAGTATGTAAAATGAAAAATGAAATCCATAGCAAAAACTCAAAAAAAAAGAAAACTCCTATACAAAAAATTTAACAAAATCAAACATTTGTAATATTCATTCTGAGTCCATAACTGTATGTAAAAAACTTCGGTCGTCAGTTAAGGGCCTATTATAAAACTTGGCAAACGTCGTTGACTCTGCGCTCCATCCTGCCGTACTTCTACCCTTCCTAAAGGCTGCAGAAGACGCGGCGTGTCGTGTGAAGTGCGCCTTGACGGTGGATGAATCGACTCCTGAAGCCTCCAGAGTTGTTTTTATCCAACGACTCAGTGTCTGTTTGGATGCAGGCTTATGCGGTTTTTTGAAAGTCACAAACAAGTTATCTATGTTTAGTTGTCTCAACGTCTTGGTGGCAGCTAAATATTTCCTCAAGGATGATGCTATACATAATTTAGGGTTTGTGTATAGAAAGGGTAACTCTAAACAGGGTTGTGAAGCGTTAGGTGTTGATGTTTTTATTAAATCAGGTATAAATATTTTCGCTCCCGAACTCGAGAACTGTATATTCGAGCATTTTATTAGGGAAAGAGTTTGTACTCTCTGAGCTGTGGCTAGGGCCAAGGTAGTAATAAGTTTAAATGATAGTCACTTTAAGTCTTCCTCGTTTACATTTTCTAGATATTGCAACACCTGTTTGGGATTCAAAGTGGTGTTATATTTTGGCGTGGGTGGTCTAAGTTTGAAAATGCCCCTCATGAAGCGTTTCAAATGAGGGTCTTCTCCTAAATTTTTTGAGGAGATGAGGGAGAGAGCTGCTCGATGGGAATTAAATGAACCAAAAATGTTATTAGTTGACTCCAAAGTGTTTTGGAGAAATGCAATAATTTGGGAGGTTTCACTTTCAAAAGGGCAGATGTTTTTTGTCACGCAAAACGACCACCAGAGTTTTAAGGTTGTATTATACTGTTTTAGCGTGGCATCACTTAACGATTTTGTCATTGTGTGTATTGCATCTTCTGGTATCCCTTTTCTACGGAAAGCCTCCCGGATAACTTCGCCGCAACCAGGGTAAGGTCCTGTGACATGGGATGGTTGTCCATGCTGTAAGGAGAAAAGCGGTGATCCGACTATCACCTTTTTAAATAGCGGATACCAAGGTTGTGACTGCCAGAATGGTACTATCACGATACCGGTAGCTTCCTCATTCCTAATCTTTTGTAATACACGGAGGATTAGCGAAAAAGGGGGGAATGCATAACATTTTATTTTCCCCCAATGAATGGTGAAGGCATCGACTGTCTCTGATTCAGGATCGGGTAGCCAGGAAACGTACCTATCGCATTTGCGATTAGCAATGGATGCAAAAAGGTCGATCTCTGGTATACCCAGGCTTTGAGTGATAATTTCAAAAATATTGAAATTTAAAACCCATTCTGTTTCCGTCGGTAACATACGTGAAGCAAAATCTGCTTGCCAGTTCTCCTTAGATTGTATGTATGAAGCGAAAAGCCACAAGCCTTTTGCTTCACACCACTGCCAAATTTCTCTTGCCAATTTCCGAAATTTGACGCTGCCCATCCTATTGATGTATGATAACGCTGTTGTGTTGTCTGTTCTAATCAAAACACTACAATTACAAAGGTTATTTGTGAAACATTTCAATCCGAAAAAAATGGCTTTCAATTCTAAGTAGTTAATATGCTCATTGAGGTCTATTAACGTCCACCAACCATATGTTCTATTGCCCTGAGAATAAGCACCCCAACCGGATAAACTTGCATCCGTGTAAATTTCGAGGCTAAAAATGTCTTTTTTGAGATCATTAGAGGCTGAAGGAATCTTTTCCTTCCACCATAATAACTCTGATTTTATTTCTTGGTTGATAATCATTTTGGCATTGTAATTGGCATTGTTCAAAATCAAAGCTAAATACTTAGCCCGTTCTAATGATTTGGTGTACAACCAACCGTATTTTATGGCTGGGCATGCAGAAGCCAATAATCCTAAAAATTGAGCAGATTCCTGAATCTTACACAATTGGTGTGATAAATAATGACATGTGAGTCTAAGTATTTCCTGACGTTTTTCAACTGTCAGTTCTATGGTCATTTTTGTTGAGTCGAAAATAAAGCCAAGAAATTTACAACTATTGTTGGGGAGGAGTACGCTTTTATCATGATTGATCAGCAATCCTAAAGAGCTAAGTGTAGAAATCACTACTTCTACATTTTTGGAACACTCGCTTTTTGTCGATCCAACGATTAGAGAATCGTGTAAGTAATTGACACAAGTTATTTCATTGGACCGAAAGTATTGTACCACGGGTTTCATAATCTTGGGAAATGCATGAAGGGCTGATGACAACCCAAATGGCAAACAGTTAAACTCATATAAGGAATTATTGAAAGAAAATCTTAAGTATTTTCTATGACTATCGGAAATCGGGACTAAATAGTAAGCGTCTTTAAGATCAATTGTAGCAGCATAATCTCCATTTTGGATTAGCCTACATGCAGTTCTAGCGTCCTCCAATTTAAAGTGAGGAGCCTCGATAAAATTGTTCAACTGCTTTAGATTCAAAATAAATCTTTTTTTTTTTGCCATTCGGTTTTTCGGCAAGAAAGATTCTTGAAATAAATTGTTTCTGATGGTGGTAACATTTCCCGATGGCCCCTATTTTTATCAGTTGGGATATTTATTTTTCAATGTCCCGAATTTTACCAGCCTTGAACATTTGTGGTGCAAAAGGTCGAGAACTATTAGGCTTATCGGTAAAAGGAAGGATGTAACCATTCTTGAGCCAATCTAATACCACCGAGTTGGTGTCAATATTTTGCCATTGTAAATGGAATTATTTTAGACGACCGGCATAATGTGAAATACTTACCACTCCTAATTCCTGATTGTCTTTTTCGGTTTGGCTCTGTTGTGGTTGTAGTTCCTGGAAGTCTGCCCTCTGGGACCTGTCCCCCCCCCCCAATGACGGTCCGGGAGATACTTGTTTAAAGAACCAAACTTTCTAGAGGAATATTGGTTAGAAGCGCTTTTCTGATTGTGAGAGTTGTCCCCTCTTTGATTTTTGCAAGAAAAGGAAGATTTATTTGTATTTTAGGCAAGCCGTAAATCCTTACTCGCCGTCTCAATTGTTTTGAAGGACTTCAATCTTTCGGAAAGATCTGTTCCAAACAAATATTCCGATGGGCCTGATTTTTCGGCGAGATCTTTAATATTTTTCAATTGTGGCAAAATCAGATTTTTTCGAGTCACAGTGACCCGGTGAAAAAGGTTAGTTAGGATTCTACCGGAATATAATAAGCCGGAATATAAATCGCTCTTAATTTCTTCTGGCATCTCGGAGATATTACTAAATATCTTTGAAATGCCCTTACCTAAGGCGCAAATCCCCTTACTTAATTAATTCTGTACTTCCCTATGCGAGGATTCAGTGGTTATGCTGGATTTCGCAAGAGCAGCCGCTACTTCCGGGTTGAGCTTCGGAGGAGTTAAGCTTGGTAAATTAGCAGGAATTTCGAATTTATTACGAAGATCACACAATCCTCTTTTTTGAGTCCATTTAAAATTTATGCATTCCATCTAGATATTAATAACTCATGTAATGAGACAGTATTATTTTGTTTCTGTTCTGGATCCTCGCCCCATAGTTCCAGTACGTCATCTGGGAGGAGCAAGACCACATCGTTATGAATTACAAGTTCATCTTGATGATTATTGTCTTTTTCATTGGCGTTACAGGCGCCAGGATCGACAATGTTAGCGTTACACGCGCTCACATTGCGGTTTTCCGGAGAAAGGTCCAATATAGATGGACCTGGCAACGCCGCATCCCGTAGGTACTGGGAGTGGGAACGAGATCGACGATTAAAGCTGCGGGACGACTCGGGGGAGCTTGAGCCGCTGCGCCGTGAAAAACGGCGTCGGAGATCCGTACGAATGCGCTCACTCACAACTGAAAAGCACCTTGACCTCAAAATCAGGTTGCGTCGGCCGGGCGGCATGGAGGTAAGTAACATCCTGTTTAGCTTTCGGTACTCCGTTCGACGACGGTTCGGTTTTTGAAATGTAACACCCGTGGTTGCATGGACGTGCGCTTCATCGAGTGTTACATACCCTCGTTATTAAGCCTATTACCATCTTGTAAATAATTATTTTAGGGCATTGAAATATTAAAACATAAGTGCAAAATGTAATTAATATTGTTATATGAATATAAATTATATACTGTTCGTTCGAATTTAGCAGATAAAAACAATAAAAGAATGAATATTTTTCGAAAAAAGCAGTTTTAGAGACCTAAATACAAATGCATACCTACTCCAAAAACATTAAAGATAACTTAATTCTGAAACCAGATTTGAATTTGTAATAAAATTCTCTAAAGCTTTTCTTTATTTAACCAACCCTCTGTAGCTCCAGCCAAATCTGAGATACACTGTATTCATACATATACAGGGTGTCCCACTAAGTTCGGCCAGGTAAGATATTATGGAAACCATAGACCTTACGGCTTCGGGATTTTTTTTTTCTTCACTGAATCGGCCAAGAGAAATTGATAGAAATTATTTTCAAGTTTCTAGGATTTCCGGTAGGGGACGCAATTACGATGATATAACTAAAAATTCAAATTTTCTCAAGAAATCGCTCTATTAAGATACTGTTTTGAAAGCAGAAATCGAAAGTTCATTCATTTTGCGTCAGTTTGGTCTTTAAGCTTTTTTCGTATCTTCTGGGGGAAGCTGGCGAAGAAATAGTTTTAAAAATTGCTGTATCTTCTATACCCCTTATCCAAATTCATTCAATTTGAGCTTATTTAAAAGAGAATTTCATTTTTATTAAAAACACCACTTCATTCGGGATCGATAGTTCCCACCGCGTCTTCTAGAGGGCGCTGTTTAACCAAGATCCAGTTTTTTCAAATTTTCTTGAAAAATCCAAATGGCATGATATTATTTTTTTATTGCTGTGCTTGAAGAGCAAAAAAATATCTACATTTTGGCGCAAATCGCAATTCAATATCTGCATTTGTTTTCAAGTTACTTAAGATGGTTTCCATAATATCGTACCTGGCCGACCTTAGTGGGACACCCTGTATATTATGTCGCAAAATAAATTTTACGCTGTTAATCTACATAGGGGCCAATGCTGTGTAAATATATTATTTACATAAATATATACCTTAAAACAAAAAGATAATACTTACATCCAGTTCTCCTTTTGTTTTAATTTTACCAACATACCTATTAAGTAGGAAACTTTACAAATTTTTTTTTTCATTTTTTTAAATCATTTATTTATGCCTTAAAAGAGTGTTCTCCAAATATCATTCCCTAAAACTCATTAATAACTTGGTGAAAAATATTTAAAGTTTCGCGCGTATTAAAAGCATTTCAAACGATCTTAAATGCGCGCGAATCTGGATGACGTCACGTAGTATGATTTTGCGTCACCTTGTCGCCAAACGTTATACTTCATTGTATTTAATTTAGTTGATTTCCACATTTTCCACCGTTATTTGTTTTGTTCTTGTTTTCTGTTGCAGCGTTGTAAATTTTGAAGTTATAATCGAAAACAAGATTCGCACATACTTACTTTTGCTACCATAAACATATTACAAATTACAGATTGTCGGATTGGCCTTTGGAATTTCCTTCTTCGGTCATAATTAATAGGTATATCGCTTTATTTATGTAATGCTGAGCTAATCATCGAATTTAAGCTAAGTAAACCAATTCTAATAATGATAAAATTTTAAAAAAAATAGAGAAAAACAGGGATAAACACAACTAACGGGTATTTATTATGTAGAGTTCGAGCTGCTATTTTGTTCTTTTATCCCTATTCTTCTCATTATAAGGAAAAAAGACGGAAAATGCTCCGAGCGCTCAGTGTTTCAAGACGAACTCACGATGGTGGACGTTTGCTGACAGACACTGACAGATCATACTAGATGACGTCACGACCAGTACCAGCGCGTTTTTTCCCGCTGGAAATAATTTGAATTTTTCCGCATTTTTAATTCCTTATTGCGGCCGTTCGCGACAAAAGAAAATTGTTTTTTTTCGCTGATATATGTTTTAACATATATATTCTTATGATTTATAGTAATATTTTCATGTTTAAATTTTTTGTCAAGTTCCCTATTATCATTAATTCCTTTAATATATGGATAATCCTCTGGCATAATACCACTATTCATTTTTTAACTAATACCTATAGAAAATATAGGTACTATGCAAATGCACGTCTTCCAGAATTTTTCTTGTATAAACAAAATTCGGACACCGAAGCCACAGCATCTAGCAGTGTTTAAAGAGGCAATGTTGTCAACTTGCCGAAATATATTATTTAGAGAACTCTTAATTTCTATTGGGTGTATAAAAACACAAATTTGTGAGTTTTTTAACTCATAAAATAAGTAAATAAATAATTGAAGTATTTTTAGTTTTAGTTTTCTCTAAGTCTAGACGAATTAACAAGCGAACTAAAATACAGAAAGTTTGCAACATAAAAAACTAATAATACCTATTATATCTATACTACCTAATAAAGGCATTAATTTTAAACATTATGTGAATGTTAATGTGTCTGGGGTAAGTAACGCCTGACAAAGAAACTCTCCGTTGCGATATCAGGTGTTACATTCAAATTTGCGAACTTGAGCCAAATGGATGTTACTTACCTCCATGCGGCCGGGCGCCCCTTGTCTACGTCTCGGACTGCGATCGCGCCTCTGGCTCTTGCTTCTAGTTGGGCCCCTCGATCGTGTGCGAGTATATGATCGAGACCGTCGCAAATTGTCCATCTCTTTTTTCAGCTTTTTATATTTTTTGAATAAGTACCGAACATTCTCCTTGTCCTTGTCAGGGCTGCATGAGGGACTTCTGCCCCTCTCCGTTTTGCCCATTACTTCTGTAAGAGAATGATTAACCAGCTAACAGGAGCGTTCAGATTAAATTAATACTCTGTCTATAAAATAGAAGGTCGAATAATTATTATTAAATTATCGACCCGTTCTTTTCTTGTACGATATGAATTAACTAATATATTTTACTATAAACTTACGTGTAATTTCGTGTCCAACGCAATAAATCACCTTAAATTTCACAAAACGAACCGTTGTACTCAAGCACAAGAAACATAATGAATAGGAACTGGCGTAGGGATAACAAACTATCGATAGGAATATCGATACTATCGATAGTTTTTTAATTTTCGATAGTATCGATAGACCTGTACCAATATCGATAGTTCCAATGTAGCCAAAGGTAAATGAAAATATCTGTATATTGAGGGAATTATAAAGAAATCTGTAGTTATTTTGAGAAATCTGTAATTATTTTTGGGGATAGACATGCTGTGCTGCCAATTTTTCGGTTAGGAGGAGTGACGAGTGACTTTGATGGACTTGATAGAGGTTGGAGGTTAATGTTTATCGTAATTAATTACAAATTTGGTTACTTTGGTCAGAGCAAACTATCGATAGTTACTATCGATGGGTAGGCCATTCTATCGATATCACTATCGATAGTTTTTTTTTCGATAGTTTGTCAACCCTAAACTGGCGATGACGCGGAGAGTGCGGCACGGCGTAGTTGCCATATTTCTTTCCTTCTTGGATTATCTTTGAGCCTTGTGCTTGAGAAGTAGAAGAAACATGTACTACATGGTAAAAAATTATTGTAATATTGAGGACTGGACCTGAAATATAATTTCAAGTAAAACATAGTTTACAGTCCACTGAGGGTTATCGAAGCCCCCCCACATTTGGTCCATCTTCGCTGGATATTGGATAGTGAAATTTGGAATTTTGATAGTGAAATTTCGAATATTGCATAGTGAAATCTCGAATTTTGATGGTGAAATTTAGAAATAAATTATAAAAAAATAATAGTCCAGTCGAGTTGGAATTTATGCTGGAAAAGTGAAAGTAATTTTGTTGTGTGAAGTTTGTGCAACCAGTAAGGGTGAGTCCTAGTTACTATTTATTCCTTATTTATTCCTAATCTGATCATTTTGCATTTGATATTGGTTTGGTTTTTGTTCATTTGACTGCATGGTAGATTTGTTGCTTTATTAAAATGGAAATTTCGGAGCAAGAAAAATTAAATAGATCACGTGGAGCCTGTAAAGCTCAACTAACCTTTTTTGAAAAGTTTCTAGACGTTGTAGAAGCTAAGCCCTCTTTAAATGATGTCGATTTTCTTGAAATAAATAATAGAATTAATAAGATTGAAGAGATTTATAATAAGTATCAGGATATTCAAGGGCAAATTGATTTTATTTGTGATGATTTTGATAAAGAACTAGAATATAGAGAAAATTTTGAAAGTCAATACTATAGTTTGATAGCTCATGCTAATAGCATATCGAAAAAAGACGTAGCTTCAAATGATGATGCTGAAGGCTCCAGGGAGGTTGATAATCTTAGCTCTCGGGCTTCTGATAGGTTTGCAATGTGTTATGGCCCCATATTAAACTCAGTGAAATTGCCAACGATAAGTTTACCTAAATTTGATGGTAGTTACAATGTGTGGCTCGAGTTCCGTGACATTTTTACGAGTTTAGTTCATGAAAAT